ATTTGCTAAATGTTTTCTCGGTTTCAGATTGTAGCGATGGGGTGAAGTTGCCGTCGAGGATTACGTGTGTCTGTGACTGGGGTGTATGGAGCCGAGATGTTGTCCTTTGAACGTATAGCCGTCGTCCGTGACTGGAGCCGAGAAGATGATGTTCTGTGAATGTATAGCTGTTGTCTTGGTGTATGGAGCCAAGATGATATCCTGTGAATGTATAGCCGTCGTACCTGTGACGGGTTGAGAAGATGATGTCCTTTGAACATGTAGATGTCGTCCCTGTGACTGGAGCCGAGATGTCCTTTGAATGTATAGCTGTCGTCTCAGTGACCGGGGTGTATGGAACTGAGAAGATGTCCTGTGAATGTATAGCAGTTGTCCCAGTGAGTGGGGTGTATGGAGCCGAGAAGATGTCATTTGAATGTATAGCTGTCGTCCCTGTGACAGGAGCTGAGAAGATGATGTCCTGTGAATGTATAGCCGTCGTCTTGGTGTATGGAGCCAAGAAGATGTCCTGTGAATGTATAGCCGTTGTAACTGCGACTGGGGTCGAGAAGAAGATGGTGTCCTTCGAACGTGTAGCTGTCGTCTCGGTGATCGGGGTGTATGCAGCCGAGAAGATGATGTCCTGTGAACGTATAGCAGTTGTCCCAGTGAGTCGGGTGTATCGAGCCGAGATGTCCTGTGAACTTCTAGCCGTCGTCCCTGTGACTGGAGCTGAGATGTCCTTTGAACGTATAGCCGTGGTCCCAGTGACGGGTGTATGGAGCCGAGAAGATGTCCCGTGAACGTATAGCTGTCGTACCAGTGACCGGGGTGTATGGAGCCGAGAAGATGATGTCCTGTGAAGGTATAGCTGTCGTGACTGGAGCTGAGAACATGTCCTGTGAACTTGTAGCCGTGTTCCAGTGACGGGTGTATGGAGCCGAGGAGATGATGTCCTATGAATGCATAGGAGTTGTCCCTATGAAGATGATGTTTGATGTATTGTACTGTATTATATTGCTAAGTGTATAGAATATATGTATTTGAGTTGAATTTTGTGTTTTCTTTATTGCCTGATGTGCATTTTGAGTGACACATAAGGTAGAAGACGACGACAAGTGATTTAGGCACCAGAAGAAGTGGAGCGATGCGACAAGATGAAGGTAATGTGTGAAGAATTGAGATTAGTTGATGTAATATGGTTATATGTAAAGTAAAGTAAAGATGTTGAAATGTATCATTGAGATTAGTTGATGTAATATGATTATATGTAAAGTAAAGATGTTGAAATGCATCATTGATATTGAGATAAGTTAATGTGTTGAATAATTTGACTTGTATTATTGTGTGAATTTTAATGCCGATTTTGTTTCTCCCTTTTCTTACAGGTACACGGGAACACATGTGGTGTTGTTTAGAGTGTTTATTGAGCAACAAGGGTGATTTTTCAACTGACGGAGAGTAGTTATTCCTCATTGGTTGTGAGTTGGTGTTTTGATGTTTGTTTGCAAACAAAAGCTTGGACATTGTCGATCTATCACACGACAATAGTCCATAGACACGATATCTGTGTCGAGAGAGCTTTACGACTAAACCTATTGTTGGTACTGACATTATTGTCCGTATCGACAATATGGTTAAAGTCTGTTTGCAAACAAAAACATTAAAATACTAACTTAAAAACTAATTTGGAATAACTACTTTCTTTCAGTTGAAAAATCACCTTTGTTGCTCAATAAACACTCTAAAATAACTTATATTATAATATAAGGGTGGCCAGGGCCTATCTTAATAAGATAGCAACTTTGAAAAAAATCCCGTTTTCTGTTCACTTGGAGAAAATGGGAAACCATCAAAGAAAATTGGAAATTTTCATCGGCTCCAGTTTCCCACGTGATCCTGTTTTCTATGACGCCACCTTCCTACGTGTTCGCGTTTTCTACAACTTCACCTATTCCAAATATGGCTGTACTTTAACTTGTGAAAAATAAAGACATTGATTATATGCTTTCTTTTATTATGCTCAAAATATTTCTATGTTCACATACATGAAAAATATAGTCCACAAAGGATGGAAAATATTCTAAGTCCACAAAACATGAAAAAAAAAACAAAGTCCACATGACATGAAAAATATACAGAGTCCACAACACATGAAAAATATTCTAAGTCCACAAAGGAAGCAAAATTTTCTAAGTCCAAAACACATGGAAAAAAACCAAGTCCGCAACACGTGAAATTTTTCTAAGTCCACAAAGGATGAAAAAATTTCTAACTCCACGTGACATGAAAAAAATACTAATTCCACACATGAAAAATTTCTAAGTCCATAAAGGATGAACAAATTTTAGAAGTCCACAAACAAAAATTAGTCCAATTCCACAAAAGAGGAAAACAAATCCACAAACAATGAAAATATTTCAAAGTCCACACAGGATATAATGATACTAAATCCACAACATAAGAAAAACTTTCAAAGTCCACAAACAATGACAATATTTACAAGTCCACAAGGGATGACACATTTTCCAAAGTCCAAAGGATAAAATAATAGAAAGACCACAAACATGAAAAATATACTAAGTCCACCTACATTCACAAAGTATTAGTCCACACACATTGAAAATTATTACAATTCCACAAAACAAAATATTTCTAAGTCCACAATGGATAAAAATTGTTCTAACCTCCACAAAGGATAAAATAATACAAAGTCCACAAACATGACAAATATAATAATTCCACATGCATTGAAAATTATTCTAATTCCACAACATAGGAAAATTTTTCTAAGTCCACAAACAATGACAATATTTCAAAGTCCACAAGAGATGACATTTACTAAGGTCCACAAAGGATAAAATAATAAAGTCCACAAACAATGAAAAATATACTAAGTACACATATATTGAAAAATATTCTAAGTCCACATACATCATAAATTATTCAAATTCCACATACATTGAAAACTAATCTAAGTCCACACACGATAAAATAATACCAAGTCCACACAGGATACAAAAATATTATAAGTCCACAAACATTATAAATTATTCCAAGTCCACAAACATAATAAAATAATAATAAGCCACAAACGATGAAAAAGTTTCTATGTCCACAAAGGACAACAAATATTCCAACTCCACAACGGATAAAATAATACGAAGTCCACAAACGTGAAAAACATACTAAGTCCACATACATTGAACATTATTCAAAATACACAAAGGGTAAAATAATACAAAGTCCACAAACATCATCAATTATTCAAAGTCCACATACATTGAACATTATTCTAGGTCCACACAGGATAAAAATTAGTCAAAGTCCACACAACATGAACAAAACACTGAGTCCACATTCAAAATTATTCTATGTCCACAAACAATAAAATAATACTAAGTCCACAGAGATTGCAAATTATTACAAGTCCACACAGGATAAAATAATACTAAGTCCACAAAGGATAACAAATATTCAAAGTCCACAAACATTATACATTATTCTAAGTCCACAAACATTATACATTATTCTAATTCCACAAACATTATACATTATTCTAAGTCCACATAAATTGAACATTAGTCTAAGTACACAAACAGTAAATTATTCAAAGTCCACAAACATCATTAATTATTCCAAGTCCACATAAATTGAACATTATTCTACATACACAAACAATGAGAAATTTTCAAAGGATGACAAATATTCAAAGTCCACACAGGATAAAAAACTATTCAAACTCCACAAACATTATACATTATTCAAAGTCCACAAAGGATCAAAACTATTCAAAATCCACAAACATCACAAATTATTCAAAGTCCACACACGATAAGAAATTAGTCAAATTCCACGAGCGTAATAAGTTATTCTCGGTCCGCGTACGTCGATAATTATTACCGGTCCTCGGACCCGACGAATAAACTTCCCGGTCCGCGTGCACGCCAAAAATATACCGAGTCCACAAAAGGCAAAACAAATTCAAAGTCGACACACATTATCAATTATTCAAAGTCCACAAAAGTTAACAATTTCAAGTCCACAAACATGAACATTATACAAAGTCCACAAAATATCTCAAATATTCAAAGTCCACATATATGCAACACATTTTCCAAGTCCACAAGACAAAATATATTCAAACTCCACAAATGATTAACTTTCATCGACAAGAAAACATTTTTTTACAACTCCACAAATAATTCTACGACCAAAAAAAATAACTCCGCGACTCCCGCGATTTATTGCGGCCGTTCCGATCGATTCGTACGACGCGCCAAATTCCGAGTCGACGCGCAACTCCCGACAAAATATTCCGAGTGCGCAAATGACTCCCTTCAAATTAAAATCCATAACTACTCCACAATACAAAATTTCATGCTCATCAATTTCACAAGTCCACGACATTAACTTACACTCTTCCGCTATTTCCCGATATGTAACTACCCAAACGCAACACGACGATTCGCCTGACGCATTTCTCCGGGCGTGCGCGTCGCGACTGCGTATTCGAACTAAAGACGGTACGTACATTCTCGACCTCGATGACAATTACTTTCCAAATCTAAATATAACTCCTCCTCTTCTTAACACCAAAATTTATTCAAATACCAACACAATATATCTACTTCACACTCACAACATATTTATAACAACACAAATAAATACAATCCAAAAGACACACACCAGCAGTAATCCAACCACAAATTCAATTGGTAACAACAAACGCATACAGGGACACAAACACGACCAACAGAGGGAAAGAAACAAACAAAAGAAACAAAAGGGGAGTAACAAGAGGAATGGGAGGGTGAGAAACACCAAGGTAATCACAATGAAACAGAGGGACAAGGAACAAACGAATAAACAAGGAAAGGAGCAAGAGATAAAGCAAACACAACAAGTAAAAGAAGGAAACGGGGACAAGAGGAGGAGGGACACCAGCAGGTGGGGGAAAAAACGGAGGTCACAATGAAACGGAGGGACAACAAACCGCAGGATCAACAATGAAAGGCAGAAGAGATACAAAAAGGAGAACAGGAAGGCAGACGGAAAACACAAAAAAAAGGGAGGGCTTACAAATTAAACATTGTGCTCGTATTCCTTCCCCTTCGACTTATCCTACTCGTCCACCAAATTTTATTATTATACAAACACCTTCACAATAAACACCTTAACACGAGTGCAGCAACACAGAGTGCAGGTGAACGAGTATAAATTCATACCGAATACGTCAAACTGCTATTAACCAAAAATATATTGCTGCTGCATCGCGTATTTCCTTACCGGTAGATACCCGCTCTCCGACGAACTGCCGCAATTACGTAAAACCCCTACACCTATCAAACCTTCCCACCATTTCAAACGCATGACTCTCGACTAACTCTACTTCCAAACCATTCTTTACACATCTCGCGGGTATACTTCCCTGCGGTACCTCGGACGCTTTCATTTCTGCGCCGCCTCGTCTCCATGCAAATTCCCGTCCGTTCTCCGTCGCCCTCTCCGTACTTCCCGCGTCGATCCTCTTTCCCGTCCCGTAAACGGACCCCGATCGACCGTCGTCCGTATCCGCAGATGCCCGCACCGCCCGCTTTACGTGCGACCCTTTCCTAAACCGGCATTTACTAAATTCGTCGTCTCTTCCGCCGATTTCCCCGCATATCCTCTACCGCGCGACTTTTTCTTCTCTTCAAAATCCCTGTCGCATCTATTTTTCACAATTATGCCACTACGCCGACTCGGTACTAGCACGTCCATACCCTACAAAATATATCATTCGTTGTCCCCCCACCACCGTCCTCATCACCTTTTACTTTATATATTCACTAATATATAACTACACTCTCTGTCCAAAACAAACCCACCAACTATCTTCCCCTTCTCATAACTCAACCAAATAGTCATCAATTCTCCATTCTTATCGGTTACCTCGATGACGCCATCCGTGTCGGTCCGATCTCCGCCGTTCTTTTACTTTCGAGAGGCGCGCGTCCCCGCAGCCGCCGCGTCGTCTCGTATTTACGCTGCCGTTATTTACGGACGTGTCCCGCCATAATGACGTGCGTGCCGCATTCGATGACGTTCCGCAATCTATTTGCAACGTGTCTACGACGATAATCTTCTCGCCAAATTAGTGCAAACCCCTAGTGATCACAGGCAACATCTTCAATAAATTCATTCTCGACATGTATCGACTTCCTCCGTCTTCACGGAGTCGGTGTCTAAAACCGTACTACAAACATTATAACAATCGTTACAAACGACACGTACATTCATTTTACACATTAAATCGCCTTTAAAACAATAACACTAGCCCGGCACTTCGCGATACAATATTGATGGGCATCTTCTTCTGCGTCGACGAGTATCTTCCCGCATTCGCCGGTGTGGTATTCTTCCCGTGTTCCCGAGCGTCTTCCTCGCGCGTCGACCGGTATCTTCGTCCACAATTGACGAGCGTCTTCGTGGCGTGGCGTCTTCGTGGCGCGGCGTCTTCGTCCTCGGTTCCCGAATGTCTTCGTCCGAACCGCTCTTACGCGCCGACCGTGCGATCCGTCTCCGTTCGTGTCTCCGACTCGTATCGCCGCTCTCGTCCGCAACTGAAACGGACAAATTACTGTGAAAATATATAAACAATTATCTACCATTACAAATTAGACTAATTCCCAAACAAACTTCATCTAAGTTCAGTCTTTCTACAGTATACCTATACACACTCACCCCACACAAACATATCTATACACCATTGCCAACTAAAACACAAGAGCATACCCACTGCAATACTCCACTACCCCGCAATTACGTCCCGCGCAAATTACTTCTCCCGCTCGTGCCGACGTCGTGCTCTGCCGTATCTCCGTAAATACCCGCGACCCTGTCGCCTAATACAAAATCAAACCGAATGCTCCTCCGCCCGTCGGTACGGTGCGCTCGTCGTCTCGTGCCGTCGCTTTGCCGCCGATCGCGAACGTCGTCGCCGCCTCGAATACTTAACAATTATCAAAAAACATACAATAAACCTATACGTAACAAAATATTAATTGTACGTATTCGTACCGTTAACGACGACTCGAGGAATCTACGAGACGATTGGGAAAGTCCACTCGATCCGGACTGGTGTACTTTACGGCCGAATGTATGTCGTGCTCTCGACGTCGTACTATTTACGTCTCGTGTACGTAACTTCCGCAGATGTCGCGTGAAAATACGCAACGACGGAGATCCGGTACGAGGATAAATGTATCAAAACTATAATAGGTGTTGGCAGTGAACCAAAAACTATACTCCAAAGGAAATATCTCGTATGCATCCGCGTGAAAATAGTGCAATGTGTCGGAGGAGGATCCCTAATTACACTTTTAAAGGAAGTGGATGTACCCACGCCATCGACGTTCGGCTTCTGTTCTGAGGGAGCGTCCCGTGTACCCGCCTCCGGCGTGCCGCGTTCCCGTTATGACCCGCAATGTGCTACTACATTCTTAACCCTTACACCCGAGGTGAAAGTTCCACAACGTCCATCTAGTCTCCCCTTCTTTGTGGGGGGAGAATTCGTCCTGTTTCTCGATTTATCCCAATACAAAGGGAGGGGGAAGTGCCAGCAGCACCCTAACCCATGGCTTATGGGTTAAACTCCCATTTTTTAATAATACTTTTCATATTGTATCCAACACTTTTACATCAGATATGAGACCTTCAATTCTATATCTCTAACCTAAGTTAAGTACTCTCATTATAACAATTGTAATGTCGATCCCTCTTCCGTCTACGCATTTTCAATAGCACCCGAGTCTTATCGTCGGTGACATTTTCATTTCTCCCTCGTTATCTTTACGTTCTACTCTTTTACTCGTAAATTCCTGTCTTATTTCCTCTCGGTAACCGGTCAAAACTTCCTCCGGTAATTCGTCGACGACTACAACGCGACCCCCGCCGTTAATGATTCGCGGTCGGGTCGACGACGCGCCGCTTAATAAATTCTCGTCTCCCTTTAAAACCTTCCACTTACTCTACGCAATTCCTACAGACACACGCCACGTACACAATCCTATTCTTCAAAGAACCATTAAGTAAATACCGTACACTGCGATATAAACATTACAATGCAGCGTCATCCGAGATTCTTACCCGCGGTTCGAGCGGCGTCCTCGGCCGGGGTCCGTCGAGTCGCCGGTCCGCACAAAAATGACGTTTCTGACTCCTGTCGGGTGACTCCGACCCGTGACTGCAAATGAAAAATTAAAGTTAAAAAATATACAGTCAATTAGACATGTAAATTATACATGAACCCTTGACAACTAACCCAAATATCTGAGTACATTCTCTAAAGACCTGGATACATTTGCCAAACATACACTTTCCATTGGAAAATCTTACATACTTAGGCAGGTATTAGGCAGCTACCAAACCGGGAGATACCGCCTCCGCGGAAAATATTGGAAGCGTAATGTGTCGTCTGCGGTACATCTCGCTGCTACGTGGCATCCCGAAATTGTGACCGAGTCCCGGGTCGCTCGTCTGACTTTCTGCCTCCTTAACACGCGATTGCGGGGTCTCAATTTTTTCTCTTACTATTGACAACACAACATAAATATATTGTTCCTCACTTTTGATTTTCTATTTCTTTAAGGTTCTTTAGTATTGTTGTTACATATAAACTAGGTTACCCCATATTTATGTGAATATGTTTTATTTCACTTGTGGAATAAAGCGCCACTTTCAGTGCGCACGTTAGGTTTTTTTTTTTACGGACGGTCCCGAAAATACGCCGGAAAGAGCAACGTCCCTTCGTGTCGTTGTCTGAGCCTCTCGCATCGTATTTCGTTGATATCCACCAAAAAGGAACACTGTAACTTCAACAATTATTATTCTTACATTTTCGCCCCGATGTGGGTCGGTGACCCGTGCCCGGGTGGGCTAATTCCCATAAAAAAAATTACGTATTATTTATTTATTTTGCACTTTCTATACGTGCGAGTGTCGACGACAAAAATTAAGTGCGGGTTCGAGCTCCCTCGGTGCGAAATTAATCTGCCGTTATTTACGCGATCTTATTTCTTCCCCGCTTTTAACGGGTCGCCGATTCAACGCGTGCCCTCGTTCTACTCCGGGGGTCGAGTGGCCTCGGGGAGTCTCGTAGGCCCTTACGGATGCACGTCGAGTGCCCGACGACGACCCCTCCGGGAACGTCGTCGCGTCGACCTCCGGCGCGACCCCCGACGAGAACGCCGCTCCGGAATTTCGACGAGACGTTTCGTCGAACGGCGTTCCGGACTATACCCTCGAAGATGACTGCGAGTGGCCTCGGACCAAACCCCGTGCCTCCTGAGACGCGGTCGAGTGAGGCTTCGGTCTACGTGCTCGCCGATCGCCGCAATATAATACTAATTAAAATGCTGTGCACTGTATGGCAAGTCTACCCTACAATGAATCCCCAAATCTGCTGTACCAAACATTCACTTGCCTAAAACGGTTAGCACAAACACATCCACCCAGGCAAAACAGGTGACTTCAATCGACTACTTTTGTTACCGACGACGAAATGTACGGCGGAGGAGCCGCGCGCTCGGCCCGAGCGTTCCTTTATTCGCGGGCCGCGGTTCCGCCGGAAGATGCCATTCCTTAATTTCTGCGACGTCAACGCCAGTCGCGCGAGTCCGGAAGCCCGTCCTCCCAATTTCTCGCACGGCAACCGCCGGACGCAACCGCCTGCCGATGCCCTCCGGGTCCCACGCCACCCAAAAAAACCCACCTAACTTTAGTGAATGGAAACGTACGTGCCCGAGAGTGGCATACGAGTATTCTACGCGTGTCGCCGCATTTATTCTCCCGCCGAATGCGTTCACCAATTCTCGACCCTGCGCATTTCGATGCGTTTTCCATTGAAGGACTAGGGTGTGGTTAGCAAATTATTTGTTCCTCTAATTGACATTTATACAACTTATAAACCCTTCTTCACACTCACACTTTATAATTACTATAGTCTTATATTTTATAGCAAACTCCAATAAACTTACCTAATATTTATCCCATTAATATCAACACTAATAACTGGTCACTTCGACTAAGTGTGTGTAGTGTAATTGTAATCACACAAAATGTTACATTATTAATAAGGTGACCATCATATACTATAAAACTTATTAAATAAACCAATAAAACACAAGTGGAAGGAACAAGAGGTAGTAGGAGAGAAAGGTGGTGGAAGGGAAGGATAATAGATAAGGAAAGGAAGAGTGGTACGTGAAGAAAGGGAGGGGGGACAGATGGTGGGATACAGGGGTGGAAGGGAAAGATAATAGATGAGGAAAGGAAGAGTGGTAAGTGGAGGGAGGGATAGATTTAGCTGGAGGAAGGGAGACGAGGTAGGTGGAGGGAGGAAGCTATGGTAGGTGGAGGGAACAAGGGGTGCTATGTGGAGGGAGAAGCGATGGTAGGTGGAGGGAACAAGGGAGGAAGGGATGGTAGGTGGAGGGAATATTTAGCTGGAGAAAGGAGAGGTAGGTGGAGGGAGAGCGATGGTAGGTGGAGAACGAGCAAAGGGTGCTATGTGGATGAAAGAGTTGGTATAGTCGTCAAACTATCTGATAATCTTTAGCGTCGTGTACTCGGGCTTCCGTCTTCTCGAGTGCGAACACGTCGCCGCCCGTTGTTTGTGGGTCGACCGTCGGGCAACTTTAGCATTCTTACTTAATGAAATACTGTACATTACAAAT